ATTTGCGTTCGTTGCGTTTTAGATGACCGAGCTGTGTTAGCGCTAAGTAGCGGAAGTACACATTAAGCTCAGTCCGTTTTGTCTGCCAGGCCTGCTATTTCTAAATTCTAGTGATATAACAAAAAAGAGCGGAAAAACCAATAGTACGAAGAGTGGGTCCTACGACACTGGCTTTCAAGGGAAACATTTTATTTTTATTACTGGAAGCCATGACTTTATTTTATGAATAAATAATGTTGATGGAATCACAATACCTCGCCACATTACCCTCGTCAATTTCAATGCACAAACACTAAGCAATGAACTTTGGTCACTTAAACCGTCGTAATGATAATAACTGTGTGATTGTAAATTTCTTTGTAATTAGAGAAACGAAGGAAGGAATCAGGATTTATTGGACGGATTGTTTATTTTATATCAGCATAGCTATTAAGGATTGACAAATTAAATAAGAAATAAAGTGAGTAAGACATATTAACTACGTATTTAAGTTTGACGTCGTCATTAAATCGTGAATGACGTAAAGTACACTAGCGTTGATGTTGACTGAAACGCATGTGATCATATTTTGAGTCTAATTCAAACAGTGAAAAAAATTGTTGAATTCCGTGCTACCTGTAAGAAAATTCGTAAATTAGCAGGTATTAGTTATTGCGACTTTTATGAATTTTTGTAATGGTTAAAAACTTTAAAAAAAAACTTGGCTTTTTCGCCCTGGCGCGCGCGCAGGTACAGACTTTGTTTTTATTGGTTTTGTTTCAGGCGCGAGCTCCCACTGGTTAATTCAAACAATTTAAGGTCGCTCCCCATATTTTTACGATTGCACGCGCGCGTAGGTCGAAAGCTCAAGTAATCTGCGCGCGCTCAAAGGAAAACGTAAATATTTTTCGATTTTTATGACGTCACCATGAGGGCAAAAAGAAAAGCTGACGGTGAATTTTTTCGCGTTTCCTTCGGTGATTTTTTTTAATTTGGCTCAGTTGTAACCACATACAATTCCTATAAGATACCTTATTTTTGTTGAAACCTGTCAGAGCTAATCTAATATATTTAAGGTCATTCCACTGAAATAGAACCTGCACCGAGATTTTTGTGAAACTTTGCCCATTGATTGTTTATATTATAGGAACTTAAATTTTGAAATAAAAGTGAGGGGTCCCCATGTTAGTTTAGGAGCAACAGCACCATGCTTGTACCCAATAAATCCTTATAATAGCACCATGATTGTAGTCACGATTGCTTGCTAAATTCACGTTTCCG